GGGCTGACACTGGGGTATTGTATGGGTGCATCTGTGGGGGAGGACGGTCGTGTCAAATTGTTTTGAGGTCATCACAAGGGCTGAAGTGTGTCTCTGCTCCTGTGCTTGGACATGCACGTCATGAAGACATTAAGATGAAACAAGTGGCGAGTTTAGGGATTCGTTTAAGGCAATTCTCCCTAAAGAGAATCGAAGCTTCACAAGGGCCACTTACTAGTTTTTGAGGCCTTCAGCTGCATGTTTTTCCTTCAGTGAGGGACAATATCACCACTTTGACAAGTGTAACTTTCAATTTCCTCAACTTTATCCTCAAAAACTGGACAATTCTGTAAAATGTGGGAAAAGTCCCATTAGAAAAACCCAGGTGGTCCATATGGGACAGTCACCACAAGCAAGAGGGACGATTGTGAAGCTCTAAGAGAAAAAGTCAGTCAGAACACGGTTGGTCTGGTCTGTGAGCTCTTAAAGAATTCAACATGGCATTCAGAAAGCTGCAATGTTTAATTCTATTATTCAAACAGCTTCAAACTGAGGAGCAGATCTACCAGCGGACATGCTACTTTTACGCCAGGTGTCTGTGTGAAGTGCAGTCATGCGTCGATCTACAGGGGCAGCTGGGAAATCAACCAGAGTTTTTTAAACTGATAAAAAAATCTAAATTGGTTTCTTTGCTCAGTGTGAGTCATGCAGTACATTTAGTCTTGGCTCTATAAACTAAATCACTGGGTATATCATACTGATGAATGTCAGAGTATGACAGATGGCAGATGTCTACAGTCACATGAAACCCATACAGACTTGAAAATTAGCAGATTTTGTTTCCATACATTCTGCAGATGTTCTACAACTGTTCTCAGCTGTCGTTTGTAGTTTCAGTCACGTCCTGTGATGATGAACAGCTCTTTGTCTCTCTCTGCTTCCACTGTGGTCACAGGTTATTGCACATCTTTGTCAGGCATCTCTGTTTCAGATCTGTGGGGGGAGGAAGAGTTACAAGCCTGGAGGCAGATTCTTCTTTCAGCTATGGGTTGAATGTGGTTGTCACTGAAATAAGAAACATTTGAGATATAAATCTAACAGTTGTCTTGTTCTAAAGCATAAACAGAAGAGTGAACCCACAGAAGGAAAAATCTCGCTCCACATTACAGATCCATAAAGCCCCTTTTCCATCTTCTGGTACTGACTCGACTCGCTTTCGGTACCGGCTGCTTGGTTTTCCACCACAGATGGTCCCCTCTCGGTGTAGCTGGTTGTCATAGCAACACTGCACTACACTGCCGTGACGTCATCAGCGACTGACACAGTAACAACGGAGGACATCGAATGTATGTGGCTGGTTTTAGTTGGTACAGTAATGTCGCAGTTAATGTTAAATAACATTGCTTTTAAAAATGGGTCATCTCGCATATTGATGATGTGATTTCTCTAACTAGTTGCTAGTCTGCAGTGTTTACACGTTATCGTTTAGTGTCGCCTCTGCTCGCTTGGAACCTCGATGGAGGTGATACCAAAAATAGTCCCAGGTACCAGGTACAATCCCCAACATCTGACTGATGGAAACACAAATAAGGCGAGTCGAGTCGGTACCAGGTGGCTGAAAAGGGGCTTAAGGTAACTACAGAACACAGGTTACAAAGTCCAGAGATAAATTAAGGCTGTGAAGAGACTGTTCAGTCTCTGTATTTGTTGGACAAATCCTGTTAGTGACTTTTCACTAATTTTACCAGACAATGTGTGACATCTTGGATCTTCCTGATCCAAGCAAAGAATAAACACTCGTCTGACTCAGCCTTATATGGAGCTTTAAAGCTCAGTGTTGCACACTGCACTTTTCCATGCTCTTCTACAATGACTCCTGCAGGTGTGACCTAGTCAACGTAGATCTACATGCCAAATGTTTGAACACATTTACTTCATCCAGTGACAAAATGACAACTCCTCGACAGAGCCCCACGAGCACAGTGTTGTAAGACTATCTTGATAATGAAACCTGGAATCTGTATCAGGTCTTGTCCCAGTTATGTGACATTTTACAGACAGAATTATTCACAAAAAGCCTAGAATGAAAAGCATCATCGTTCAAGCCGTAGACGGGTGTAGTGATCATGAATCCAATTTGTTTGAAAATCCTAAGAAAACCCTGATATTTCCCTGTACTACTAGTTTTAAGTGTGTTTTCATGTAGAGCCACAACCGAAAACATTTTCCGTCATTAACATGATGATTGATAGATGATTGTGAAGCTTTTCAGACCACTCACTGTTTTTTATTAATCACTTTCACTCACTGCTACTTTGGCACTTTCACATCAAACCCAGCTAAAGCCTAAAAATACACACAGAAGTCTAATTAGAGCCAGTTAGAGGACTGGTGTGACACCTTGTGAGTCCTCTGTCCGGCCTGGTGCTGGATGATCGGCGTGTCAGAAGCTGTGAGAGAGGCAGCTCGCTCTGTGACCTCTTGAGCCCATTAGCTCTGAGGAGTCATGGCTGTAGCTCAGAGGTGTCTGCAGAGCTGCTGCTACTCTAATGAGCTCTTATACGACTCCCAGCAACATGGCTGACACGTGTCCACAGATGAAGTGTGCTGCCCGGTTATTTCTGATTCACACTCTGTAAAAGTACTAACGTGGTTTCCACTGAACAAACCGACATCTTTCTGAGTTGTCTTTGGTATTTTTTTAAAGCATCATCTGCTCTGTAATTGCCTCACCTGAAGAAGTTCTCTGCCTGTGTTTGTCTGTCTGAAGACTTTCTCTAAAACTAGAGGAGTTTTCAATCAAATCTGTGGAAAGTCAAGACATGAACCAATTTACAAACCCTATAAGAACCTATACAGTTGGAACCTGACCTCCTGAGCAGGGAGGTTTAGCACATTTTGTTTTGTTCTTCTGGGTCATCAAAACTGAAGGAAACCATTTTTGTGAAATTGTTTATTTTACAGTGAGCTGTCATGTGTAGTGAGCTTTAGAGGTTGGGGGTTTCTGTAAATGTTGAACAATTGCAGGCAAGTCTTTATGCTAAGCTAAGCTAACTGGCTGTGGCAAACACACTGTACATATTTTTAAGAGAGACTGCGGGTGGTGGCGAGTCACTCCCAAAGCAAAGGAGTTCACCAAGTATCTCAAGGTACAATGGAGCGTGACTGTTGTGGTGAAGGGGGAGCGGAGCCAGGAGGCAAAGCTTTCAGTTTACCAGTCTATGTTCCAGCCCTGACCTCTGGTCACGAGCTTTGGGTAGAGACAGAGAGACTCAAGCAGCTGAAGTAAGTTTCCTCCATAAGGTGGCTGGACTCGGCCTTCAGTTTGAGTGAGGTGCACCTGATACACTGACAGCTGAACGGTACAGTAAGTACAGATTCAGCATCGGACTAAATATCTGAGCCGCAGTGATTCGTCACTCCACAGTTTTGACAGTGGGGTGTCCTGGAGTCTGAGGCTCTGAGGAAACTCACTGATCTGTGACGGGTGACAGGAGGCACAGAGAATCGATCACACCTCCATCTACAGTTCACTTACTTCTGGAGAAGGCCACTCTCCTGACCCGCCAACACACCTCAGGCGTGTGTTCTTCATACCAGGGGTGCCTGTCGTCGCAGTATCTGTAAGACCAGAAGATCCACAGATCAGATCCCTGTTTCAGCATCAGCTGAGCAGACACATTGTTTTAAGACTCACAGAAAAGCGTCCTTTATCAGGATTAGCTGCTGGATTAGCTAGACAGAAAAACATGAACATGTCTCAAAGGGCTGGAACACGGCTCTGTGTGGATGTAAGGAGCTGAGACATCGAGGACAAAGCTCACTTTTCATCCCAGTTTAGAGATTAACGTCAAATCGTGAATACACTGTGATGCATGTTGGGAGCCGATGCAGGGTGCGAAACATAGCAACAAGCTGATCAGCTAATTTCTGTTGGATTTTTAATCACTGTCATGCATTTGTACATGCCGAGCCCACACAGGCTTACAGGACACCGATAAAACAAACTGCCAGGTTCTGCCTCCATTGTGGTTTTTACAATATCACTACCAAACCAACAAAACGTCCTGCCTTTTTCCCCATGCTTCAGACACAAGCTTGGCACCAAAGTTACACATCCACTCCATCTTTTCTTCATCTGTACCCGTTTGCAATTGCACATGACCTAGTCCTGGATTTAGTAGAGAAAAAGTCATATTCCTCCAAGTAAGGCATAAAAACGAACCCCTGTGACATCTGACAGCCACCCCCAGACGTCTGTGAGAGTCTTGTCAGGTTTGCTTCATTAAATTCACTGTGAGTTGTCAATACTGTCAGAGGTCCGTCAGTCCAGTTCCAGCCTAAATGCCAGTATGTCCAGTGTAGACACTGCCTGGTGTCCACATTTCCTGTCCTAACTCGGTGCTGAGAAAATGACTCGACACTGTTGCTACTTCTGTTAATCAGCTTCAGCTTTCATTACAGCTCTCACTTCCTCACCTTTCTCACTCAGCTCCTCGTTTTCTGGCTCTACCACATCATATAATTAAAACAGCTCGGTGAAGAAAGTGTCATTTGCTGGTGTGAAGACCTTTTCATGCGCGTCTTGTGGCTGAAGGGTCTGCAGAGGCACTGAGAGAAGAACCGGCAGAGCTCGAGGACACAGGGCTGCAGCTTGTGAGCACCGACTGTCGCTGGGCCGCCGGAGGTCAACCTGCTGATCGGCGGCGGCCTTCGCCGAGGACAACCTCTCAACAGATGGAGCAAGAGGTCACGTCAGTCACAGACAAGATCTGAACAGCTGTGTAAACTTCTGCACACTGATCCAGCTTCACATACTGCTTAATTACTCTGCCAAACAGAACCAAAGTAAAGTTAATTACAAAGATAAAAGATGATCACAGAGGTGGGTTTGCACATAAAATAATCAAAGGCATTGTAATTAACCTCTGAACACCCACAACGGTGATTTGGAGATTTTACATGGAGAATAAATCATCCAGGCATCCGTCCGACAGATACTCTCATTGTATTCATTTTGCATAATGTCTCCTCAGTACTCAGATTCCCATTACAGGAACCACTGGTGCCGTTGCAGTCTCATCATAATTAATGTATTGTAGGCACACAGGCTCATAATTACCATAAAATACATATTCAAGTGTGAATTTCAATTAGATGCTTTTCCACATTCTGTGCTGATTTTCTGGTCCAGAGCAGGAAACTTTTCCAAATCAAACTTAAAGAAACAAAACATGTTTATTGCTTAGTTTGAAAATTTAAGGTTAGACCAGTGACTTCATACAAAAACAGAAGATGTGACCGCTCTCAGACATGAAACCACCACCAGTCGCCCCTGGTAGCCGGGTTTATTACAGGTCATAAACCCCGCCCCCTCCGTGTTAGTGGATGGGGCATGAGCCAAACTAAAAATTTTATTTTAGCCAAATCAAATTTATTTTTCCCAGAGATGATTTCTGTCACTCTGAGATGTTTTTCAGGTGAATTTATTTGATGGTATAAAAAGAGGTGTATTCTACTTAGTGACAGGTTTGACTGGCAGCCTGATAGTTCACTCAGCTACGTGGTTGCTACTGTAAAACATCGGGTTGCAAAATGCCAAGATGGCAGTCACTGTTCTCTGCTCATCCATCACTGTCTGGTTTGGCTCTGCAACCAAACAGGACAGGAACAGACTCCAGGGGACAGTCAGGTCTGTAGGAAGAACCATCAGTGCCAGCCTGCCCTCCATGGTGGACCTGTACACCTCACGGGTCAAAAGGAGGTCGGAGAGGATCACTGCAGACCCCGCACACCCTGGACACAAACTGAGCTCCTCCCCTCTGGATGGTGTTACAGGTCACCCTGCGCCAAGACAACCAGGCACAAGGACAGTTTCTTCCCCTGGGCTGTCACTCTGATGAACAGTTAACCCATGACTATGTGACTGGACACAGCATCGTTCCAGTGCAATAAACTGTAAATATACAGTCAAACATACTTGGCCATTAAAATGATTCTGATTCTAACCAACCAAAGTCAGATGACCACTTAGGTTATCAGGATTTATCCTCTGAGAACAATAAATGAATTTCATGACAACCCATCCAATATTTTTATCGAGATATTTCAGGCCAGGCTAAACTGACCGACCTAGTGTCTGGGGGAAGCCTTCTTCCCTCCTCTAAATCACCTTGAAAACCTGCAGCTGTTCTCATTTTTCTTTACAAAAGTCAATACTGCAGCAGTGACTGATGAGAAATGATCTGCAGTGTTCACAGAGGTGACACCGACCAGCCATTTATGGACGGATGAACCAACCACAGCTCCTCATCAGCGGTGTATGTGACAAACACCGAGGTCTATCTGTGAGACGTCCACAGAGCAGACACACAGGGTGCAGAGAAGTGCAGCAGGGCGTCAATACTCATCGTACTGCACTAATGACTCAGTGACAAACTGAACAGGATGCTCAGCCTTGTGTTTGTTGCTAGGCAGAAGTCAGTGGGGGAGCAGCTGCTGGTTGTGCAGTGGGATGTTACTGCCATCTAGTGGCTCTGCTGGGCCGTGGGCAAGCACAGCACCGGTGCCCTTTTAATGCATCATGCACGGCCTTCTAAAGGCAAATACATACAAACTGTGGGCTTCAGTGAGTGTGTGGATCAGTTGATAAGTGTCACAGATAGCAGCCAAACACACACCAGTTAACCCCTGATTTTCTAATCAGGTGCAAATAGTGCACTCACATTTGGAACTAGCCCAGCTGAAACTTACAGGTGAACTGATCTCACCCTCAATCAGCACGTCAACAGCACTGAAGACAGGGAGTGGATGGTTACTGCACACTCACCCTCCCTAATGCACTAGCCCATACTTACTAGGCTCTTTATCGTGAGCCATCCTCTTGAGAGTCTATTCAGTGTCAGACACTTCGGATGAAGGATGTTTTTATCCTTTTAAGAGAATATGTGTTAGGAGCAACATGAGCCATCATGTGTCCGTGTAGCTTGGCTGTGTCCACCTCACATGGAGAGGATTTAGACATTGTAAACGGGTCACAGGTGTTGCCCTCACTGCATGATGTGCTGTTAGGAGGATTTTGGATCTAATTCATGTTCTAGTTACACCTAGCAGTTCTTCACCAGCTTCAAATGTTTTAATTTTATTACCAGTAACCCTGGACATCCTGGAAACGACGAGGTGTAGTACATCTATATTACCTAACTGAGAAAAGACTAATGGAAGAGTGGACTGGGACTGAAAAGGCTACAGTCTAGAGATATTTTTAAATTTGATTTGTTTTGTTGATTCTGTATAAGATGCTCCAGGTGCTCTGTGACTGGGAACCCTCGTACTTCTGTGCCTCAGCCTCTTCTCCATCCCAGCGTGCTCACTGACCGTGTAACAGACAGATAAACACCGGATATTTGGCCTTAATTTGCTTTTAACCCTCGCAGCTTAAGACCATCGAAGCTTTCACATACAGTGAAGGGGGCCGTGCCTGTGTTACTATGGTTACTATCTCAGCCTCCTGCATGGCTTATGCTTGCTTTCCTGTGCTCTAACACACACACACACACATAATGCACACTTTTCCCTGGGCTAAAATTGAATTGGTGTGTCCAGAAATGACGGTGACTGGATCTGATGTGATTACAGCTGTTTTCTAAGAGTAGGCTGGAGTCCAGATGTTCCTGCACACTGTTACTTCTTTTCTCAAATTTTCAGCATCTGCCCATCTGCGAGGGTCCAGTCTGCACAGACTGACGACTGACATGCCACACGCCTCTGTGGTGCACTGCAGGTATGTGGTGTTTGCTAAGCACTGTTTTCTTTATTACATTGTTCAGCCCAGTACAACAAATGACGGAGCTCGTCTCACCGGTGTCAGGTGGTCGCCATCGCGTTTTGAAGTGCACGTGTGAAGTGTATTCACATATAAAGTGAATGTAACAGTCCTGCACAAACATCCTGGCTTCACAGTTTGTGGTGCTGTTGTGTTGCATTATACTGCCAGGGGTTTCTGTAGTTTCTCTTTTTTGTCCACACCATTTATGACAAGATCAGGTTAAATACAAGAAAGACCGCTCAGTCGAAAGCAGTACAGTGAATCTGCAATAAAACAGACTGAACGTGTACAGACTGCAGAAAGGAGAAACGATGACACCACCATCTGGTGGCTCAGGCCCATCACGGGACACGCACAGTCAGCACAGTCCTAACAGCAGCAGTAAAGCTCACACAGTGGATTGTACTGTTGTGTAATACTAATTAAATAATACTGATGTGCTGCGTATCAAACTCAGTGAACCTAGAATCCCCTACCTGGCTTCTCTGGTTCCTCAGCCCTACTGCGTGCCGTAGTCCTCCTGGCTGCCACAGGCCCCTCTGTGGGGTGGGCAGGAGAAAGTCCAGTTGTTCTCTCTGGGTGTGCGCTCAGCCAGGTCTGGTTGACCCCTGGTGAGAACACTGTAGGTCTGTGTGACACCATGGACGCCTGGGTCGTACTGAAAGGAGCTGCAGCAGCTGGCACTGACACAGTGGCGACCGGCTGGGTCGACACTGCGGCTGGTTGCAGAATTGTCACTGTTGGCCTTTCTGAAGCCTGTGCCTGGGCTGTCGTCCACATCTTTGTCATCTCTGCTGTGTCCGCTGCACTTTGCAGCACGGCTGCTGTAAAGTGCTGAGGCGTTTCCTGTGGCCCTGGAGCTGTGATTGTTGGAGCTGGTGAAACTGCTTAACCAAACAAACAAAAAGAAACAAAGTTGCAATGAGGTGTAAAACACTGACAGGTTGAATCTTAACCAGCAGGCACCAACACAATCAGTCACTTGATCAGTCGATTCTTGGCTGTCGGCCAACACAAGACTTCACATCAGAAAATGTGATTATTACTCTGAACTAACTGGTAGCATCTAATAGACCGAACATTTAATTAAACACATTAACCAAAGTCACTGCAGCCTTCAACCAGCTGTTACCACACGCTCATTTCATTTACAAAACGTCTTGTTGAAAGAACATGAAGTGCTGCACACACATAAAAACATATTGCAGTAAATATATTTAAATCTAAAGGATTGTGTTGTAATTGTGTTGAGATGAACTCCCACAGCAGGCAACAGCAGAGTTCATCTCAACACACAATGTATCACAGTGTTGTCTTATTTTTTGCACTTTAATGGAAGAACCTCTGGAAATGCTTGATTTTACACAACCATAACCTTCTGGTAATTTTCTGGGTAGTTTGATAATTACAGGGACAATAAAGAAAGTGAACTTCCAGTAAATTACAAACAACTGCTAGCACCCAGGAAACTTTAACGGCTCTGCTGAACAAGCAAAATGTCTCATCCACCAGGAGTTTATCACTGTTTACAGTGTTTCTGAGAAAGCACCAGATTTAACAGAGTGAGTCTGGCCTTAAATGAAACGGAGCAGACAGACTCACCGTGTGCGGTCGCCTGGACTCGGAACACCGAGCTCATCCCAGATGGAGCGACGTGACTCAGATTTGTGGGCAGTTGGTGCCGTTCTGAGGTTTAAAATAGACAGTTGGAAATGTGAATTAAACGGCGCTTTAGTGTCTTATCGATGACAACAGATGCTCAAATGGGTGTTTTTTCAGTGACTCACCGACAGGAAGCCTGAAGGAGGAGTCACTGCCAACTTGAAAAGGAAGAAGAAAAGTTCAGTAAAACCAGGAAGGGGAGACTCTGTTTGTGCAGTACGAGAGAACATAATCTGTTGGTTTTGCCCTCGTGTTTGCTAACTACAAGCTCAGTGCTTTGTACTGTGCCATGATCAGTGCACGACAAAGTGTGAGGTCTTTTCTTTAACGCCTTAAACTCCTGATTCTTCTCTAAAATCTCACCAGCCCTTCACTGAAACTAGATGATGTAGTCAAACCATGTTTTTATTCCATGAGATGGTATTATCCTAGATGCCTGGAGCATCATTTCAGAAACATTCTTCCAAGAATCAGCCTGGATTCTGGGGTCGCTGGGACATATAATAAACCAGTTTGTGTATTGGTGGATGTTTTAAACAAACTTCTGTGAGGTCCTTTGATGATGGTCTGGTTGAACAGTGGAGTGATGGAGTCGACCTCCCAGAGCGCCGGCAGCTCTCTGCCTGGACAAGCACATACATCATCATCATCATCATCATCAACATCCTGTGAAGATAGTCGAGCTGCAGGATGGTTCCTAATACCAGACTGGGATTGACTGACCCTTACTGGTTCCAGTTAGAGTGAATCCCATTTGTAAAGTGGATTTGAATTCATTAAAGAGAGACAGAAGGTAAAAGATCTCATTAAATTATTCACTGGACTCTTTTTTCTCTGTATGTCAATAGTCGTGTACAAAACATCCAGCTGGTCACTTAGTTTTATTTCTCTGGATGTTTTTAATTTTGCTGTTGAACGTTCAGGCTTCGTGGGTGTGATATTGGATCCAGTTAAAGAGAAACAGCATTAATCAAACAAGGCAAAATACAACTGAAATCAACACACACACAACTCAAACTCCATTTTCCAGATCAACAGAAACAAGCAGATGAAACTGACTGGTTAACTGAACGGCTCAGTGCACACAGTGGAAACGGTGCTAGTGAACAGAACTCAGCAGAATGGAGCCAGCGAGCTGGACTTACCCACGGTACCCGCCATGACACAGATGTAAATACAGCCCGAGTCGTTCCTCTGGCTCACTGACAAACAGAAAACACAGGGGCAGTTCACCACATTACGACAAGCGGCCTGTGAACAAAAAGGAAACCTGCGACACTGTATCAGCTGACATGCCTGATAATATGGAGGCAGACTTGAAGAGCTCGTGTAAGTAACTGGTAGAGTTTCCCATCACATCCAACAGGACGGCCGTGAAGTCTGATGGAAAACATAGTCACTGACCTGGGAGTAAAACATTTGCTGATGCCTGAGGTGAGATGAAAGGTTTCGATGTTCCTACCGGTCAGATCGTTGGTCTCATTGGTGACACAGTAACAGAATCTCCTCCTGAACACGCTGCTTTCCAAACTTCTGATGCTGGAAACTGGAAACACAGGAGGTGACATCAGCTCAGAGAAGTCGAACAGCTCTGACACTTTAAACACCAAACAATCTACTGATTATTAAATAAAGTAATGTATTGATAATGAGAATAACCACTGGCCGTCGTAGCACGTTTCTCCAGTGATGGCATCATATTTTCTGTCTTAATTACTCAATACACAATTTAATGAAACTCAATTTACAACAAATGACCACAATTAAACCCAAACAGGTAAAGTGTTAAAACTCCACCTGAACACAGGTCCCATCAAGTCGAGGCAGAGGACTCAACATAGCAGACAATCGGCTTCAGTCAGGAACATTTCTCAATAATCAAGTTATGTAGTAAAAAGCAAAGTTTAAGTACACGGGCCTTTTAGAGCCACTGGGCAGTTTTGCACTGCACGTATATGTAAGAAGTCTGATTCCCTTCACTGAGCCCAAATTACTTTTCTTTAATGGCATCATTTTTGGAAGATGCTGCACAGCTCAGTCAGGTCCAAACTCCACCCTGTCAGAATGTGGATAAAGTGTTTTTAACACAGTCACAGCATTAGGTTTCCTGACAGCTAATTAGACTTACAGGTACCAATAAAGTCCAAACATTACTGAGTGCCCATCGTACCATTAGGGTTAAAACACAGTGGGCACATCCCGCATCTCTTACAGAACTGTTCCTACGTCCTCGACCGAGGATGTTCCAGGACTGATATATAACCTATGAGGAGCCAGGAGGCTGCTAGAGGAGTGGTGAGCGAGGATACACGAGAGCATCGAGTGCAGAAGTCGTATGAACCGACATTTTATCAGACATCATTTGGTGATTAGACGCTTCAGATGAAGGATTGTTTCATTTCCTCTCTCCTTACACTGGAAATGGCGGTGCCTATAAGAGACATGGGATGTACCCAGTGTGATACTTCAGGCAGTTACACACCCAAACCACAAGATGGCCCTACTGCCAAAGTTGGAGTTTATAGCTCTGAACCCATTAATGTAGAGTCTGGTAGAGTTCAGATTGCGACAGGTGAGAGGAGCCTCCTGACTGAGTGGAGACACGACCAGCAGGTCATTGATCGATCATCGTCCCGATGACCTGATTAATCTGTTTATCCCCAGGATGTCAGACAATGGAAAAGAGTCCCACTGTGACTGGGTGGCGGTTTGTCCTCTCATCTGTCGCCCATCTTTATGGCACATCTATGAACAGTTTCCACACTTTGGTGTCTTGTTACTGAGCAGAGACAGACATTTGTAGATACAGAGTATTTACTGTTGTAGACCAGCAGGGTGAGTTTATGCAGAGCCAGAGAGCTGTAGGACGTCACGCTGAGGAGGGAGAAGAGCTGACGGGAGCCTGGAAAACAGAATGAACTGATGAGTGTCAGGACTTTATGACATGGACAAAGTTTAGGCATCTAAAAGTACAAACCAGAAAAGAGACAGACCACCAGCTGTAATGAGAAGTGTGCACGTGACACTCCAGATTCAATATGATGCAACACGCTGGGAAAAATCTGCACTGAAGGAACATCATTTCACATCTGTGGCCTTAAATCTGACAGGTGGATATTAAAGGTAAAGTAATGCTTATATTGGATTAAAGTTAAACAATCTGAGGGCTGAATTTTGAGCCTTAAAAACCTGAGAGGAAAATACAGCTGTTGACATGTTGAAAACTAAGATTCGTGATGTTTCTGACCACTTTGCAGACTAAACAGGACCTGACTTACAGTAAACACTTATAGAACGTGATAAGTGAACCTTCACATCTATTATCTGTCAAATACAAAACTTCAGAAGGCAACCGAACTGATCAAATACACACTTTTAAAGTGCTTTTCCAGTTAAGGTCCCCACCTGTCACCACAGTGGAAAACCAGGCTTGTCAATCCACCCAGGTCTCTAAAACACACGTTCAGCCTCACCTCTGCTGCTGTTTACTCATATAGGTCCTAAGTTTATGCTCCGAGGCATCGCTGAGCCAGCTGATGAGCCCAGTACAATGCAGCTGAACAACAATGCAACAGCAGCACATCTGTACAGTCAAAGGGAAAGCGATGATGCTGTTCGTTTTATCACAGTTCCTCACCTCCATGTCTTGAAACCTGGGCCAGTAAAACCAAAACTATCTACATACTGTGTGTAACAGACACCACATGGAGCAGCCCTGTCGGCTACCTGACCTCTGCTGAGGTCACATGACAACGTACCCGAGTGGCTTGAATTTATTAACGTATTGACCAGGGGAGTGAGGTCGATGGCAGCTGGATCAATGAGCCCTGCAGGGGTTTCTGGGAAATAAAACCAGACAGTCGAGTCAGTGGGAGCTTATTCCCTGTAGTGGAATTAACAGCATCAGCAGAAAGTGGTTGCATCACGTAAAAAAGCAACGAGCCCCCAGTGGAACAGTCAGTCCCATATACTCAGCCATATTTCATATCGTACGTTATAGGTGTTCAATGCTGACATTGTGGTGGAGTTTTGAGTTTTTACAAAAAGGATTTCTTAGCATGGTGATGCAGTTTTCTTAATTATGTTCTGACAGTCTGAGGGAGAAACATATGTCGTGCATTATTCTGTGTTCTGGTGCACATTCACATCAGGACGCAGTTTGAAATTTTTCAAGTACTTTCTATTATTGAAGTAACATATTTAAAGCAGTGTTAGTGACGATCTGCCATTTCTAGCTGCTTCTATAATCTGTTGTGCAGTGACGTCTTCAGAGCGAAGCAGTACTGACAAAAAATGCTGTTTCAAAATCTTTAACACCCCGACTGAATATTTAACTCTTTATGTGGTTATCAAACTATTTTGCATCTTTGGTTTCATAGCATCAGAAATATGCAGCTTCACTAAGTCACAGATGAATTTTCCACAATTCAAGCATTAACACAGCTGTAATATCAGGTCTCCCAGACTATCAGGGGAGTGAATTTAGGAAAGGACTGACTCAATAAAGCCTTTTTTGGAAGAGTGAATTGTTCATATGCTGAAATCAGTAAACGCAGAACAGGACAGTTTGTATGTGAAGTGTTGAGTGCATCTGTTTCCTTTGGCTCAGCAGGTGAAGCCAGACATAAGTGACAATGTAAAACCATGGAAACACGCAGAACAGTGAAATGAGGATTACCGGTGGAGTTCTGGATGTGTCTTCTGTGCCTGTCGTCCTGGTGTCTGGCTTTTAAAGCTGCAAGAAACACAAACTAATCAGATTTTAAAAGCAAGGGGTTGTTTGATTAGAGTTTTGCTTGTTTGTTTATTCCAGCTAACTGAGGTTTAGCTATTGTTTTTGATTACTGTGCATATAAAACAGTGTGAATACTGAGCGGATTGGTCAGGTGAAATAAACTGCAACTAGAAAAAAGAAGGCACATGTCCAACACTGAGCTCAACCTGCAGAGCTACAGCCTTCATAACATCGTTTCTTCAGAGTTGGTCTGGTCACTATTGCTGTAGTAGCTGAGAAGCTGCATGTACACTAAGCCCTGTGCAATACAGTGCAACACATCAGCCCTGAAGTAAACAGGCCTTTCAGCCTAAACTCATCCCATTAAACCAAATGGTTCAATAGCTTTGTAACTGTGATTACAAAGGTACATTTTCTAACTCACGGGGTCCCACCATTTAAAAAACATGACACAATTATAAAACCAGTGGGATTTTATGAAGACAAAGACTCAATTCAGACACCTCCAGACTGACCTTGGCTGAAGAGGAGGAGGAGTGAAACGGTAGCAACACAGCTGATCAGACAGCAGCGTGGACGCCCTGTGCCTCTCTGTGCACCTGCCATGGCCCTGCTGGAGCCACAAAACACAGTGGATCAAACTGTTACTGATAGCGTTGACACAGACAAACTAAAAATAGAAAGGTGGGTGCAACAAGTGTGAGTAAACCAGCCTCTGTAAGACATCAACAGCAGAACTTGTAGATTTCTAAACCTCTTTTACTCAAAAGTCTGAAATTGAGAGCAAAGTGTGACACATACTTGGCAGTCTGTTGTTGTCACCTACACTTCTGTCGCAGGTTAAAATGCTGAAATCCGAGTAGCTCTAAAGGTCAAACAGTCTCTACTCTGCTGAACGAAAACCAACAAACATAGCTTACCTGCTCCTGTAAACGCAGCAGCACTGTCGACCCTCCAGTAGCATCAACCCTCGCCAATGGTTCACACACCTCTGCTGAGATACGGGGGAAGGGATGCCCGTGCCCCCCTCTGAGCAGCAGAGGCTGGCAGCAGGCTCTGCCAAAAAAAATCACATCCACCACAGACAGACAACAGCTACAAACAGTGCAGCCTTTGTGTCTTGCTCCTCTGGGCTGCAACTGCTCTGAACTCAGATACTGGAACTCCAGGTTACAGGGCTCTGGATATCACTGTCACGATCACCGTGGGTCCTACTATCTCATGAAGTTGCTGTCAACAATAAACCTGGATACTTAGGATTTCAATTTTTAAGGTTGTGGACCTTTGTTTTTAATTTATTTATTTAGGACATTAACTTAAGGACTCATCCATTTTATGAAGCGCTTGTTGCAGAAGCAGCAATTGTATTTTCATTATGTTTTTACCAATGGACTTCTATTCTGTTCTATAGTCTGTCCTGGTCAGGCAGGAGGGGCCCCACTAACTCCTAACTGATCCATGTTGAGCAGCAGAAGTTAGTGGGGGCGGCTTTGGTTCAGTGGGTAGAGCAGTCATCTCCCAACTGGAGGGTCGGAGGTTTGAATCTCGGTGCCTGCAGTCCATGTGTCAAAGTGTCCTTGGGCAAGACACTGATTGCCCAAGTTGCCCCTGATGGTTAGAGCATCAGTTGAGTTGGCACCACAGATGGCTGCCTCGCTTCTGTACCAACAGTGCTTCACTGACAAATTCCTTGTAACATATTTGGCCAAATACAGGTCACTGATTATCACAGAAGCTGGAGGTTCATAGGTTTGTAACATATATTAAAGAATATTTTCATGCTTTTGTTTGTTTGGGTTGAGGTTTTATCTGCTAGTCACTGACCACGACACAAAACCGACACGTCCTCGAGGCTGAAATGTTCACTCTGCAAAAACACTGGTGTTTGATTGAACAAAACCAAAAGGTGTAGTTTGTCCTGAGGGTGTTGGGTGAGGACTGGAGACAGACGGAAGGTCCACAGTGTCCACAGCTCAGTGACAGTTCATGTTATAGTGATGTCATTCAGCGCTGTATAATGTCCACTCACACACTGTTGGTTTCAATGCTTTATTAATAACTGGTGCAATTGAAAAGAAAAAAAAATTTAAAAACCAAGTAAGAATACATTTGCATATTATATCATCAAAACAAAATATTCAGTGTTCTAATACAGAATAAAAATGGCAAGTTTTTTTTTTTCTAACTGGAAGGAGAAACATGATGCACAGCTCTGAAGGCCACTAGTGGAAAGTCCAAACTCCCCTTAAATGAAACTTAACTGTTTCTGAGCCAAAGAAGCAGCCAGCTCGCTCACTCAAAGCTGTTGGTAATATCCAACCTCTGTGTATAGAAAGACAGTTTCTGGTTTTGTTTCTCAAAGTGTGATGGCTGCATTTATGCAAGAACAACAGATGTCACTTTGAACATCTGTATTTCCCCCCACACATTACTGTGAAAACAATCCAGGCTCCCAGGAAGCCAGGGGGCTCACAGGTCCCACTGCACTGGGCCGTCTGTACAAACAGACACACCGCAAAGAGCTTTGGCTGTTTTTCATGCTGTGCAGGTGTGTTTATAAGAAAGCTACAGTACCATAGTACCTGGCCAGTTTCAGTTACTGTGACAGGCCTTCTTCAGTTTCAGTCTTTTGGCACATTTTCCAAGTAGCTTGGAAACTGAAACTTCCTGGTTTTGTTCCAGAAAATGAGAAAGTTTTATTGAAAATGACACTTGTAACATTTGTAATAATGTGAATTATTAAAATGTGCCTTGCAATATCACCCTCATCGACCACACGCCATATGGCTGGCTCTGTCCACCCTCACAGAAATACAGTTTTCTAATCATCTGTGATCTTTAATATTTTTATTGGCCTTTAATAAATACTAGTGCAGGCAGCTGTGGACAAGAGATTAATAAAAATGTTATGGAAATGAAAAAAAAACAAACACTTAATGTTTATACATTATGGTAGCTGCACTTTGTCGCTTAAAATCCCAACAGGTTAAAATGCGTTAGACTCTTAGGACAGATATAAACCTGAGGAAAAAGACAAATGAAAGAAACTCAAATTCCAAAAGAAAGCTTGTCTGTTAGCTTATATCGAAGGCGCATTAAACCATATCGAAGAAAGAAAAAAATCTCATTAAAGAGTGTGTTTAAGTGTTAAAATACAAGCTTCCGGGTAGCAGGGACTAGCTTTGGCACGTTAGCAACAGGCTAACACTGTTTTTGCTAAATTAGCCTACTGGCTAGTGACAGTAGCCTGCTAGTTTTTCGCCCCATGTTAACTGAGCTGAGACTGTGGATCCTTCTCGGTAGAACTATCAGGCATTTTCTACACAGACTGTCAACAGTATTAAGCTACAGCCAAGTTTTCCAAAGGACGTGGTCCATCACGGCACCAGCTGCATGTGCTACTGGACCCGCCATACAACCGACGCCTGTTTAGAGAAGACGCTGTGGCGTTGAACTCCGCGTCCACTACATTGTTGTATCCCGTTGTGACCAGGATTGCGCCCAGGAGGCGAGCACCAGTCAGGCTTTGATCAGACACTTGAATCCACGTACAATTAATCAGCCCACAAAACAACACTTTCATGGAGCTCACGAGCAAATACCCTGGACATGCCCCGATGATGTTTCAGGCATTGCTGACAACAGGTGAAGTCAGTGTGGCTGCTGAAACTGGCACCAGGCTGCACAGGGTTCACTTTAGGGAGCAGACAGATATGATCCCATTTAGGGCTGTGTGGTATTACATTAGATCAGGCCATCATTTGAAACTACATACTCAATGCTGACCATGCCATGAACCCAGAAGCTGTGGTCTGACACTTGAGCAAAGATGCGCTCGGTGCCAACCGGATTAAGGCGCCACTCTTCATATAGCTGTACAACTAGTGCGCTCAGAGCCCAGCTCTGCGGATTGCAGGCCAAACCTACCACTCTGTTCTTCATACGCTCTCTTTGACAACTTCCCTTTCAAAGTTGAAAGTGCGCTTAGTTGCAAGCCACCATCTTGTCTGCAGCCAGGTCCAGTACGTGTTTAGCCTAGCTTAGCACTGGAAGCATATATCAACAAAATAGAAAAAACTTCCAACAACTAAAAAGCTGTTTGAAAAGGCGTTTTTACCGGTTCGATCATAAATCTGCAGATCATCAGTGTCAGGCTGCTGCTCTGTGTACATGCAGCCTTTGACCCGGATATTACCAACAGTTTTGTGCTGGGTTTCGACAGCCATAGCAAGAAAAGCGTGACCATGGTCAAAAATAAATGAATAAAAAGCCAACACTGAAAAGAACTGTACTGTAAAAGGCCAAGGCACAAATAATTTGTAGCAATCAAAATGTCCATAAAAGTACAGGTTATGAATGTGTGGATCAGTGCATTGCTTGGTATGCAGTTACAGTGAATACAATCATAATGAACAGAATAATCACAGCAAGCTCTATTGCCCTCGACTACACAGAGGCCATAAAGTGCTCCTTTTCATTCAGAATCGATGCACATACAGACAAGTTCACTCACAGAGTCAAAGAAAGTAATCGACACACAGTGTACACACCTAAGAGGGCAGAAAGGTGTTTTAAGTACAAACATGCTTCGTAATCAGATTATGGCTTTGCAGGATTTAGATCTAAGCCATCAAGAGAAATCTGACTTTTCAAAATACTACCATATAATATTCTACAAAATAAATGCAAAGTATATTCAGCCCCTTGTAAATTGGTTTTCCTGCAGGCTTACTAAGCACCTTCTGCATCTGAGCATCTCCCAGCATTGTTTCTGCATTAGGAGGAGACCTGCTACAATACAACTTGGAACCATGTTTCATCAGGAGTGAGCCACCAGTGCATGAACAACCTCTGCTGACAGGGAAGATGTGATGTTAACTCAGTACTGTACATTTCAGGAACTGCCCTTATGAAGCTACAAAAGTAGTTGTACCAGAGGTCAAATATACACTCCCTGATTTTAATTTATTGACAAGCAGTGCAGTTGGTACTCGTGTTTCAAACAGCACCAGTAAACAAGGAGAAAAACTGGAGATTAGGGGTGTTTTGGTGCTATAACCAAATCAGAGGGTGTATTTTAAAAAAAATAGGGCACAGGCTTAGTGCCACAACCTTGATGAGAACAAAAAACTGACCAAATCATGGGGTGAGTGTTACACCACTACCTAACAACCACTGCTCTAAACTAGGTGACAGAAACACTGGGGACAAATATACCAGTTTATCTTTCAGTCTCCATTTTCTGTAGATACCACAACACCTCTTACAGCTCAAAGTATACTGAAATGTTTGGGAAAACATTTCGAACTGGTGGGCCAAATCACAGTGTCAGGAAAAGGATAATCTGCAACATGCTGGTTGTCAAACTAAAGTTAAAGGGCTCTTTCCAATAAACAGGACTTAAAATGAAAGGTCAAACAAGAAAGCATCAAGTATCAGCAGGATGGGAAAGGTTTAAATCCCCCAGTGACGTTGCTGATGAAAACCTCTTCCACAAGCCTGGGAAACAAAGGGATGATTCACAGTGGCTCTCGAGTCAGTGCATGGAACGTAAACAGTTGCACAAGTGGTTGTCCTGAGGTCACCTTACAGAATACACCAAAATCGCTCAGCAGTTTGAACCAGATGGAAGTACTTTAGTTTGTATTCAGTGTCTTGTAGTTTGGAAGGTGTGAGAAAAATGTTTCAAACCGAGTCACAACTGGATTCGCTGATGATTAAAACATTTTAGGCAAACAAAGTGATTTTTTTATTTTAAGGGTTCGTTAGGTCTGGAAAGCGATGCTGCTTATCATGGGGCTCTGAAGATGTATGGCCCCTCTCTGGGGCCAAATAATGGGTAAACCTCATTTAACTCTTACACGGAGCTTCCATATCAACACTTTTGCATTCTTTGACACATTTAATTGTGTATTACTGACTAACGCTACTCAGTTTTACTCTGTGTAGTGTGAAAGGGTCATTTATGGTGATGACCCACTGGGAATCAGCACCTCCTCAGCTGCACCTCTACTTTGACCTGGCTCTGTGACCCAACAACATCGAGTCCTTTATGCCTCCATCAGTCCTGGTATAAAACTTTTGGTAGCTCCTTCTACATGATCTGTCCAGCACCAAACATGAGATGGAGTAAAGAAAGTAGTTAATGCCACGATGATTCATTACACCAGACACGTTCGTTGCCTGGTTTGGACAAAACTAATCAGACTTTCTTTGTTCTGTTCATCAAGTATTGTGTTTTCATTGAGTATCAAATTAAACGACCATTCAGCATCAGAGCTGCTTAAATCTTTCACGATCTCAACCTCAAAATCATTCAGCTCAGCCCAGAGACAGAGAATGACCTCATGTCAGGTATTCGGTGAAATGACCACTAGACCAAATGCTCCAAAAGCCAAAATGCCACAAGCTGATGTTAATTCACTGTTTTTTGTGTACCAAGCTCATTTACATTGGACACAAGTGAAATCTGAAAGTGAATTTCAGTCACGAGTTGGATGGTTTTCAGTTTACCTTGCACTTGCACTGGAGAGGTTTGATCTCAGGACGTCACTGGAGGACACGTGGCCACAAATTGTACAAAACCTTCACCGCAAAACAATACAGTACCACGTCTTGGCGTATTGCCATAACACACAAAATCTGATTGAATTCATAAAAAAACATGTGGACAGAGGGAAGGGCTGGTCAGCAAGTCAGTGAATCTAAAATTCAGCTTTCAGGACTATTTTCATCTTAAAATGAGAATTTCCCATTGGCCCAGTTTGCCCTATTGGCAAAACAAAACTACATCAGTGTTTTAAAACGGGGAAGCAGATTACAACAAGAAACAGGTGATTTACTGGAAACAGGCGGAATAATCTCGCCTCACTGGCAGCTTTATTTGTTTCAGGGAAATAAAGCAAATAAAAATGGGAAATTAGGCTGAATAATATCTACAGTGACTTGTTAGAACGGAGCGTGTGTTGCATCCTTATTCAACAGCAACTTAAACGTTCGTGACCTCTAGCATCACTTTGTGTCTTGGAAAACAATTTATTCTGTTTTAACAATTTACAAAATATTTAAATGTTAGCTTCAACAGTAATTTACCGTGCAACCACCATATAAAAATTCCAATGCTTTTATAGTTTTCCCTGGTGAAATAGCTAAACTGATGCATTACTGTAAATTTAGAAAGGAAGCAAACTTTCTGAATGGAAGCAATGTAACTACACCAGAGCACATGGAAAACGTTTCTGTGACATGATGAGTAGGCAGCAAAACCATGCAGCTAATGAGTTTAGACAGTGAGTTCTTGGCACGTTCAACTTCAACAAAACCAAAACACCAAGCAACTTCACTGTGAACAGACACAACAGTTCAACTTCAAGCTGATAAACAGAAATAAATGACGTTACAACCTTTACATGTCTGTGCAGCTGAGATCAGGTCAAGTCTGAATGAGAGAGACAAAAGCATCACAAAGCTACAAAACAGTATTTTAGGAAAGCAAATTTGTCCTGTGTGCTTATCTGAAAAACCACGAGCAAAGGAAAGAGAGCTGGCATTCATCGATCCTGTGTGGCGACACAAGGTGGCACTGAAACACTAAATTCAGAACGACGAGTCATTCTGAAGGTTTCTCGCTTCAGAGGCACAGTGAATGACTGTCTACAGGGATAGATCATCATGTTGTGACAACTGGTGCCAGCATCGCAAGTTCATTCATTTTATTCTGTAAAGCTTTCGCTGTTGCAGTAAGTGGAACTCATGCTGTTTCATGTTCGGACCTGTGAACCGGTGTCAGACCTCCACCTCTGCAGTCAGTAGCTTACTGGTGTTTCTACATGTCCCTGCAGTCTTTCCAGTGTGTGGTTGTGTTCATAACTAACAATCGATTTGTTCACAGCACAGTAGTGACCAGTACAGTCGTTTGTATGTTGACAAGAAATTTAGGATAAAAAAAAGCACACGGTGAATTGCCATTATTTTAAGCTACGTTACTATAAAGACATGTTTTGGGCAGCGGAGAAAGGAATTTTGTAGCTTTACGGCTCATTTATTGCAGCTATTTCAGATATGTTGGTAAATGCTCCTTTAATTTCATTACTGTGCACTACCACTTCACCAGGACTGTAGCTAGCTGGGCTGATTTGGGAAATCCCTCTTAAAATCAGAGGATTACTAATAGGAAATTAGACAAGCTACTCAAAATATAATTGCTCAGTAAAACTTTAATTGCAGTTGTCTGAAGAAATTGTTTGAGGAAATCGCAGTCACAATTTTCTGTCAAAATATATTTTACAGATTGCGGACATGACATGGGCACTCAAAACCACAGATGGCTCCTCTATTCTGAAATGTTTTAATCAACAGCCATGTCTTCCATGTGGTCACATTTTAAATAGAACAAAAGCAGCTCTGTGCAGAATTTATTGTGAAGACATCAAATCTGTGAAGAACATACGAGTTTACATGTTTACCTTTTTAGACACTACTGAATTTACTCTCTGCAGTAGAAATATTTTTTGATGGAGATCAGGTTTAGGTCATGTCGTGACTTTAACACATCAAAAAAAACAATTTTTGTGGCTTTTTGGCTCGATTCTGGTGGTTTGAGTTTGGCACACTGTAGCATGAGTGAAATAAATGGCTCATTTAAAATGTTTAGCTAATTAATGTTGAGAATTTTAGCCACTGATTTGTGCTAATAACATAAATCATCCGATCACCAGGTGAAGCCCTGAAGCAGTGACAAACTGAACAAAATCCTTTGCTATTTAAAGACCTACAGGTGCTTTACATCCCTGAATTCATGTGGCAGCAAAGCAGCAAAGATTTAGTGTTTCAAATTCTGTTGAAGCTTTTTCTTCCAAGTGGAAAGTTTCTATGCACAAAGTGGTGACACACAACTCAAGAGCACAGCAGTGAAAACAAAGTGACGAGAGCCAAAGTTCTGGTTTCTGGACAGAACTGACTCTTGAAGAGTTAGAGCACTGTGTGAGAAGGACTGCCAGCAACGAACCAGCGTGTTCTCTCTCCCAGTCACACACACTCACACAAACACTCCTGGAAACATACTCGCCAAACGACAGACACAACAAAGGAGACAGGAGACTTTTGGTTCTAGTACCACCAACCATTGCCCCTTGAATGTTGCATTATCATGCAAACCATGCAAAAAACGATGAAGATGTATTCATATAAAAAATAAGTGATACAAAATGGCATAGCAGGTATATGTATCCGTTCAATCTCTTTCTCCTTTTCCTGAAATCCTGAACTTTGCAGTGTCTACACTAAAAGTTGCATGCGTTACATGCAGTGCGCTTGGCTTTGCAGCGATAAAGCTTTTGGGTGTATATAGTATGTATATTAATGTTCTTTTTTGTTTTAGCTAAGTTTTTGTGAAGTGTGCACTGTACAGAGTTCTACTTTACAAACATCTGCTTTCCCTTTGTTTCTGGGCAGTCTCGATGCCATGGCTCTCTGTCTGGACGGCACTCGGTCGATGAGATCCGCGGAGGCCTTTGACGGTTGATGACCTCTCTCGCAATCTTGCAACATCAAGGTGGATTAGACCCACCTTTCATCCAAATGATTTGGTCCAGAGGTGTGACTTTGACCCAAACTGAATTGGGCTTAGAGGCATGGGTTGGAATTAAGGTCTTCACTCAAGGTCGTGAACGACTGTGTGGTCACATGAACATGTTTCAAGGTGGCGTGTCCCACACAGCATCACCAAATCCCTCCCCCGTGGAGGATAGCGGCAGGGGCCCCCCACTGGGCGTGAAGGGGTCAGTGTCTGTGTCCGTCTCCCCCTCCGCCAGGTAGCTTGGTCTGGGTCTTGTCCAGCCGGCGTCCTCAGTTCCCACCCTTCCCCCCATCAACAGGTCCACCCCTTCCTCCCGCTCCCCAGAGATGCTGAACCCACTGGGCGAGCGCTCCAGCTCCTCGTGATTCACCGACAACATGGAAAGAGGAGAGTCAGCCCCTTGCCCCCCTGCGGTCCTACCTGGCCCCACTGACAAGTCCTGCAGGGGGCTAATGGGCAACACTGTGGGGCGTTCGGTGTACAGAGGGATGGGTGCTGGAGGGTGGCGCTGGTGGACGTGCTCTGGAGCTCCATCTACCAACCCCACCCCCTCCCCCCGTCCAGTCCCAACAGGCGCCTGGAACGACATGTGCGGGAACACCTCGGCATAGTTGAGGAAAACCTGTCTCATCTCACCATTCCTCATAGGATCGCAGGTGTCCAGGGTCATGTGGGCACCACCCGCAGAGTCCACCTGCAGGTGCTCGGAGTGCTGGATGTGCATGTCCACCAGAAAGTCCAACTTCTTCTCCATGTCCTCCACCTGAGACACAAACACAGACTGATGGTCCCCAATTTCCTGATGCTTTCTGATGTGCCCTGCCTGGTAGAATAGATGTCAAAATATTCTGATCCACTACTGCAAGTTAATACTGCTAGTAAACTAACAAGCTTCTGATCCTACTGTGTGATCGGCTGAACACACCTGCTGTCAGTAGTAAACAGAGTTCAATGACATCAGAAAGTGACAGATATATGTATCTGTACAAGAACAAAAATTAATCTCACTGGAGGTGTGGTGATGGAACCTCAAAGACTCAATGATTCCTTACAGGTTGAACTGCACAACTATTATAATACCTTGCTCCATTTTGGCTGTGTCCCAGTTCAGGCTGCATCTGAAGACTGACTGCGTCACAGCTTCGCGACATGGCCGCCCCATTTTGAAGGCTCCTTAAAATGCAGCTGAGAAATGCATCTTTGTGTCGCCAGGTGACTTTCGCAGCCCACCCTATGTCAAGATCATTTGTGTGCCTGCAGAAAGCAGAGCAGCTGTCAAGGTTGCTAGGCAACAGTAGTGAAGCTTTGCAACGCAACGGTAAGGGGAGGAAGAGTTGGTAAACAGGGAATCCCCCATAGACCAGACCATCTCATTTTGGTTCAGCCTTTGCAGACCATGTCCTTTGAAGGATTCGGCCCCTGAACTGTGACACAGCCTGCGGCTCTCTGCACCATCAACGTTCAGTACTGTCAAGGTTGCAATTGGTCAACAGGGTAAATTTGCACAACGAAGTTCACCAAAGCTCAACTCTACAATAATCCCGTTGATGTGGGACTTCCACTGATGTAATATAATTCTGCTATTGTAAGTTCTATGGCTGTTGGGTGAGTCATTTCACCTAAGGCTCTAAAAAAAACTCTACACAGCATAAAAAAAAGATTCAATTAATTAACCTCCAAAAGCATAATTTGCAGATCAGCATATAAAATTCATTGTGTAATTTGCGGTTCTAATCCTCACCTGTCTTTCCACCCTGACAAATCTACCCATCATGCTTTGGTCTTCAGCATCTGGCATGGAGGCGGCTTTGGCTAGGTACGGTTCGTGCCTGGAAGATTAGATAGAGGGAAATGAACAAAAGATTCACCAGCACAGATTAATTCCTTTACTAAAAAAAAGAACATAGTTGTTTGCAATTTACAGAGTATAATGCATGAGCAGAACAGGATGGAGCCACGACACTGTAAAGAAAGTCAACAGAAGCCTTAACATGATGTCAGCATTAATTAGTTAAAAACAAACTGATATATTCTTACAGCACTGTCTAATGCGTTTTCTCTGTGAACAGTGTGGCAGTACCTGGGTGACTGATTGGGTGGGTAGGCAAAAGGCGTTTTTTGAGTTTTCTTGTGTTTTGGAGTGAGGGAGGGTCCAGGGGCAAGTATCATGTCAATCCTTAAAGAAAGAAAACCATGATGAGCTTGAGGAAGAGCTAATATTCAACAGGCTCCCATCTGTGATGCTGCTGCTCACCTTGTCTGGAGGTATTTAATTCTACAGAGCATGTCCAGGTGTCCGGCAGAGTACTGCTCAATCACGTCTTTGACATCGTAAGGCCTCAGAGTTTCCTTAAACCGCTTCTTGTTTAGGAGGAATTGCATGATCCTGTGAGAAAGAGTTGGAAGCAAACAGGTTATTAAAGAGACAGGTTGAGCTGTATCACTCTTCACTGTAGTAAACGTCCATTTGATTTTGCAGGTTGACTCGCAGTTTCGACTTGGACCTGCTGTACAGTTTCTCTATGCAGTGAGGGGCAGCAACGGTACAGGTGTGCTAACCTTTAGTTTCATCTCCAAATAAGATCAAAAGTTATTTCAAACTGGTTGTTTGTTTATAACCTCTCTTACTGACTTGTTGTACTACAGTAATCATGTATCCCAAGATCTGAGCAATTAAATTACTGCAAGACAAACATGGATGTCTGTTTGATCTACAGCCCCTGGTACCGGCTCAACTCAATTCGACTCTACTCAGCTCTACTTGCTTTTGGTACCATATGCTTTGTTTTCCACCACAGACAGTCCCCACACCGTGTAGCTGATTGTTGCAGCGACTGACCTGACTGCCCTGATGACCAGTTTCAGAGTGGGAATCATCTCCTCCAGGAGGATGTCTGGAGGGAAGGCCCGCTCCTCTAAGGCTGGATCTGCCAGAGCTCCGGCATCTGGCAAAGACACACAACACAGAGACACTAATGTAAGAACTGTGCATGAGTAAAACACAAACACTTAATCACCACAGTGTCCATTTGCTTAACTAAGACCAACCAAACCCTTCCTTTGTTTTTTCCTTTTCATGGCGTACCTTCAGTGCTCTGGCGGAGCGTAGAGGCCCTAATGCGGAAGGCAGTCCGGAAGCGCTCCCTGTTACTGAAGCCGGCAGGTTTGGGCTCCTTGGAGGGACTTTCCTCGATGGCATCAACCGTACCTGTGAGCTTCTTGCCCGTCCCAACCGACATTCTTGCATTGGGGAGGCGAACACGCTCGAGTAAACTCAGCTTTTGACTGAAGTGAAAGAGAAAAGATATACAGAGTGGAGGACTTCAAGTAGTGTGATGTGTTGCACAATCACATGACTGAAAGTTTCTCAAATGGCTAAAGTCTGTCTTAGAATATGAAGCTGGTGGCACTGACAAAACAACCTCGGCTCCTGGTCTGTTTAGCTGCTGCTCTGGAGCCTCTGATCACGCTACATGGCACCAGACACCTACTAGATGGATGCTGAGGTGAGTTTGGGTTGTGAACTGTGATTTTCAAAATTGGAGAGTTGGTCATGTATTTTTTTTTTTTTTTTATGGCTGTAACAATCTGTGCATCAGATCCTGCCTCGTCATTACCAGTGACCACCAGTGTCTGATTTCTAATTTATTCAGTCAAAGGTTTTTGATTTCACTACAGACACTCTGGTGTTAGTTCCAGCCTATGAATAACAGAAGAAGAATCACAAGTTCATGGGAAAGTAAATCATCCAAATGTCCACATATGGATTAATCAACCCAAACTATTTCTATTCTTTCATTGAGAATTTTAAAGTAGTACAAACTTACATAACACGTTAAAAACATGTCAACGTTGCTTTATCCGTGAAAGCTGTTGGTTTGGCGATTTGCAGATCAAACATCATCTGAACTAAAATTCTAAAAAACTCTAAAAATCTTAAAACTGAGCTATAATAAATAAAAAACTGAAAATTGCAAGTTTCTGAAACATCAAGACTCCATAAAATACACTGCAGTTTAGGGCCTGAAATATATTTAATGGCTCCCAGCAACATCCCTCAACATATAAACGCTTAGGTGAAATTTATTTGCTCTGCGCAGTGTAAATTTTGTCAACTGTCAGCACAAACCATCCATATACAGCTCAAAATCTATGACTGCAGGCTCTTTATGCATGGTCTCTACAAATCTGTGAACAGACACCTTGTGTAGTGCAAACAGAAGCATGTGAGTGTTAGACTCACCACCTTTACTGGGGCACGTCTTTATGAGCATAAAAAAGTCCCCTTCTAGTGTGAGCTACAACTTTCTTCTCACAGAGAAGCTAAAGTCTTCAGGGTCTGCTGCAGAAGGAAGCCTCAGAGAGCCGAAAAGGTGATTAGTCTCCTGTATTGTTTAATGGCTGACAATATTTGGCAGCACAAAGGCAAGAGCTCCCTGGGTAAAATAAGACTCCTGTGTGCCTGGGAAGAGACAGAGAGGGAGGGTAACCGGAGCCGACAACAGCCCGAACAGGGCTTCTGAATGTGGGGCATTCTCAGCAACTTTGCTCCCACAGCAGACACACGATATCAGCCTCTGTGTGGCCTCGGGGCAGAAAAGGGCAGCAGATTACGGCGCTGAGAGGTTGCAGAATAGAAAGCTTTAAAGGATGAGAGAATCTCTTTCTGACTGCTCCTCCACAGAATGAAGAGCAGAAAATTAGCTGTGATTATCCCGCGGCTCTTGGTAAATAACACTCCTGATCTCCCACAGATCAAACACACACCTGCAGAGACAACATGAAAGTATACGCCCAGTTTAGTACAACTGGGAAGTGGGTCCGTAACCAGACACTCTGGACTGTAATACTGACTTTCATTTCTCTTTGTTTCCAAACTGACTGATCGTCTCAGTGCTGATTTTTCTTCATGTTATTTTATGATTGAAATTAAAATGTCACTAGATCACAGGTACATAATCCTGCTGCCCCAAAAACTCACAAGAGCCCCAAATGTGGATTAATCTGCCGCTGAAAATAAACCCCAACAAATGTCCAGTTTCCTCCTGTCTGTTTACAGAGACCAGCTGAATGTTTCTCAAAAATGAAACTACATACTGCTGAGGTGTTTATGTGCTGAGAGACAGACATGCAGGTTTGTATCATCTCATGGGATTTGGTGACATTAAGAAAGATCATAAACAAACTTGAAGAGCAGTCAGACTAATGTGACTTCACTTTGGAGACACTGTCCTCACTCCAAAGATCTGAAATGTGTTCTCACAATCAGAGCAAACAGCACACACGCTACCACTGGATAACTCAGATAAAAGGTCTTATCAGCCTCATGCTGGACCTTGTGTTTCTGGCTGTCGTCCACCTCTTCACTCAGAGCAGCGAGACAATGTCAGGCTGCTAATTTCCCTGCTGATCTTTCAAAGTATTTGAAACTTGCTCTCTCTCTGTCATTAATCCCTCACTTTGTTTCTCCCCCTCTTCACCCCTTAGCATTTTCTACATCTCCATGTCTTCCTTGTTCTTTGTTTCTTTTTCATTCCTGTTTCTTCTTCTCTGTATTTTAAATTTATCCCATTTTCTCTCCATGTGTCTTGTTGTCCCCATGCTAAATAGTACAACAGATCTTTTTTGTGGCCTCAACTAAATATATTTAGGATACTAATTTCTCTTCTGGATGAAGCTCAATGCTTCCAAATATTGTTACGAACAAATGTCCACCTCCTCATGAACAGGTGGTGCTCATCTGTCTGAAACAAGTGATCTAAAACCAGCTTGTGGTGTTAAGGGAGTCTGGTGAATCTGACTGAACAGTTGTATGAACAAACCTCCCAGAGAAAGGTCAGAGATCAGAGAGATTTAGACCACGAATAAGAAACTGCTCTTGCATGAGGCCAGTCACCGTTGCTGTAGTGTCTATGTGAACTGTTCTCTATCAGCCTGTGTATCAGGGCTTCTGTTGTTGTTCTCAGGAGCTTTTAGGAGCAGAAACTTGATCCTGCAAGTTGAACATGGGGCTCAGTGGAGGCCCAGAGGCGTTGGAGCAGAACGCTCTGCTGTAGTGATCCTGTAATGGTACTGACCTGAACTGACAGCGTGCGCAGCAAGTTACTGTAACAACATACCATGTGTACCAACACCGTCAACAACACAGACCCGTACACATTTCACATGGCTTGTCATGGCTGAATCCAAATGACAAAGGACTAGACCTGTCTCTGCCAACATGTTCAAGCTGTGAAAAGACATAGGATCTCCGCTACCTGCTGCTGCCTAATTATCAGCTCAAATAGAGTCATCATCATCATACCTGTCACCTCATGTGCTACCTATGTTTCCCTGGCAAAGCAAAATGTGGACACAGTCCACAACAAGCATGGGGCGGAAACTGTGTGACGGTGACAGTGCAGACAATCACACAGTGAAACACAAGCTTGCAGAAATGTGACATCTTTGCTGCTTTGTCAGAGGTCAATTGGCTGAAGTGTGCTTTCACCTCTGAACTAGTACAAGTGTGTATTCACAATCAAACAATGCACACTATGCTAATATTAGCAAACAAAGCTATAAACAAATGCTGTGTGTGCTTGTGTAACAGCTGAATCTGATTAACCACAACATGAAAATTAGTTGAATGTTTATAGAAAACTAGTTTCCTCTAACCTTCCGTCAGTTGGTCGCTGGATAACAGAATGATAACACCTGTAAAGGCTAAGGCCAGTGAATCGTCACATTCAGAAACGTTACTGGAACAATCCTACAAAGCTGTGAAACCTGACACTATTTCTATCCTTCCACTTTCCCTTCCCATCCAGTATTGAATGTGCTTGTCTGAGTTTTACAACATCCTCCTAATACTCAACCAGTGACTGTGTGTGTCATTGTGCTTTAGGTTCCTTTGGGGGAAAATAAATAAATCAGTCGTCTAAAATCCTGTCATTTATCTAATCTTATGAAGACAAGCTAAATCTTTCTGAAATCAAACATCCCCCGTCAGATGCTCATGATGTGCGTTGATGTAGAATCATTATGATGAAGAGCAAAAAGAAAACTCATCCAACCCAAAGACCCCATCTAAGCCCCTAATTACTCGCTATGAACCGTCATTCATAATAGAAACATAACTAATGGACTCACTAATGGGTTTCTAAAAATGCCCCTCAGCCTACCTGTCACCAAAGAAGCTTAGGTAGAAGGTAGCGCCATTAAAGTGCGACGAGTGGGAGGTTTGTGTCAAGATTCACATGTTTACCACAGTCATTAGCTGAGAGATTTATTCTGCTTGTGAATTAACAGAGGGAGCTATTTAAAGCTAATGGCGGATACCCTAGGAAGCCTTCATTAGTCCTTCCAGCATGCAGGGCTGATTAGAGGTGCTTCACTCAAGCCCCATATCTGTGTCTCACAGTGTCTCTGCTGGACATCGAACAGTGACCTACCTCGCTATGGCCTCCAGGTGATCCTTCCTTTGGGTGGGGGAGAGAGAAAATACAATGTTAACACGACCTGTTGACATGTGTCAGTCAAACAGACCAACTGACTACTGCTACTGTCTCAGGTCCAGTTTGATCTGTGTTGAAAGCCTTTGTTAAACTGCAACAAACTGGTTGATAAATCAAGGACTGAAATGTGCACTCAGTGAAACTGTTTGCACAGACTGAGCATAATAATTCACCAGTTCCCATGTGCTGCTGATTATCACCACTGTTTCCTCAGTAGCTGCTTTCTAACAGGAAGAGTTGGCCTGACCCTGTGTAGGCGCTGGGAACACTAAACTCCCACACTCACTGAACTATCTGCAGCGAGTTTCTTGAAAACCTGGAACAAGGATATGTTAGTAGAGACAGCTTCTATCCATCTACTAGACAGGGTAAATCGAGGAGCCGGGAGGCTGTTGCAGGAGCCACGAGCAAGGTTACGAGAGACACACCCCTTTATCAGAAAACAGTTGGCGGTTGGACGTTTTAGATGAAGGATCGGAGAAATGGACGTCTCTAAAAACGTGTTTCCTTAATTCCTCTGTCCTCACATTTTTCCCACACATCTAAGGACTAAGGCACAAGGAAAGGACAAGTGAAGGAAACATGGATGGAATTAAGGGAACTGGGATTCACCCATGGAGTCAGTGCAGCAAGTCGGTCCTGCCACAGTGCCAACTACAAGCCAATCATTACTTGTTGAATTAATGTATGTTCCCAGAGCCTATGCAGTCCATTTGATACGTGAGGTCACCTACAGATGAAGTCAGAAATTCACATACACCTTAGCCAAATACATTTTCACAGCTCCTGACATTTAATCCTATAAACATTCGCTGTCTTAGGTCAGCTAGTGTCATTGCTTTATTTTAGGAATGTGAAATGTCCTCCCAGTGATGGACTAGGATGGACTTGGTTGGATCTTTCGGGTCCTCATGTTTGCAGGGGGGACTTTACTCTTGCACAGCCTATTTTGTATATTCTTTACTTCAGTCTATATTTTGTTTTTGCTTTATTCTAAGTACTTTATTGAGACTTCTGAGTTGCTCCAACACCTGAATTTCAATGCAGTGTTATCTTCACAGGACTGAGTGGAGACTGATATCTAGTTCTCCTGATGTATCCACAAAGAATAATACCAACCCTGATATGGAGCTGATAATATATTTGACGTGCATGTATGATGCTATAATGTTGTATGCCGTGTCTGGTTATTTCTTGGCTAAAACAGGACTGAAATTCCTAGAAGAAACTTTTAAATTTAAGACATGTTGGCTTTAACTAACCTGTCATTAGCCCATGTTGTTGGAATTTCTAATGACAGTAGCTGTCAGTAAAGAGTCTAAGTTTGGCATCAAATAATGTTTTTGTTATTAAAATCTTACATGATCTCATATCCTTCAAAATACTGATCATTTGACATTTCGTGAAATATGATATATAGCCTGTTTTTCCTCTTGTACACACCACAGAGGCCAATCACAGCTGAACACCCGAGCCAGGTGTGATGACATCTGTTATACCTGCTACACCTGCTGTTCAGCATCCAGCCTCCCAGTCTTCAGTTCAGTTTAATGATAAGCATGCAAACTAAAACAAAATAAAACAAAACAAAAATGAAGGAGTCTGAACAAAAACGATGACAATATAATTGAACAAAATTGTAAACAAAACACAACATTCTTCACTTTCAAGTATTTCACGAAAACCTACAGCAGTGCATTGAGGGCTATGAAATAGACACATGCACGGCAGCCATTTTGGTGCATGATCAGTGTTACCTGAAGCAGGGAAGAGAGATGATAGCTTCATAAAATCTCCACGTGGCAGTAAGGTCTTCCCTGATTGGATTGGTGGAATAATACCTCCAGGCGGACTTGACATGAGAAGATAGCGACAGAACAGAGCACTTCAGTATGATTCTAGCCTCGTTACAGTTCAAACAGCCTTGCAGAATCCAGGCTAAATATAAACCTCCCAGCTGGACCAGTCACAGTCATGTGACATCAGGTGGGGTCTCACCTGGATGAGCCCGGCAGCTGGATGTCGGCGCTTCTCAAAGTGCTTCTGCCTGTGCTGCTCCTGGACCTTCAGAGCCAAGCCTGAACCCAGGATACCCTGCGGTCACACAACACAGTCGACAGCTCGGCCTGCTGTGCATAAATGCCACTGCACCGTTCATTTGAAAAACATTTCAGGTGTCGTAAACACAAGCATCTTAAATTAAGCTTCTCCTGGTCTCATGTGTTAAGGTTCAAGGTCTCAATTCGCAGTGTAAAGAGCAAAAAACACTAGTCAGTGGTGCTTTGCTTTTACCCACCAGGTGATGCTACTTGCTAGTCACTTGTTAGCAGGCTAGCTAAAGGTACTAGCTATTTTTGCTCTGTGATGTTTGGGTATGTTAAGAACCCAAGAATTAGACTGCTCCTGCCGTGCACTACTGCAGTGAAAAGTACAAAACTAAGTCTAAAGCAGCTACTACTCATGACTTTTATCTTTTATTAGCACATTAATCCACAGTCCATGCAGTTAACATTAGCAGTAATGTGTGTTATACAGTCAGAATCCAGTCATGTTGCAATGAGCACACTGTATATACAGGAGCGTGTACCCACTGCAGGCAAAGCGAAGAAGGACACTCCGATCAGAACAAAGGTGCCGGCTAACAGTCTCCCAGCCCAGGTTTTTGGGGTTTTGTCTCCGTAACCAATGGTGGTCAGAGTGACCTGCAAAGAAATAAAAAGATTACACTCTTT